TCCTTGTACTCCTCCTTGTGTTGTTCGTCCTCCTCTTCGCAGTGCACCTCCTCCTCCTCCTCCTCCTCCTCCTCCTCCTGCTCCTCCTGCTCCTCCTCCTGCTCCTCCTCCTCCTCCTCCTCCTCCTGCCCCTCCTCCTCGCAATGTTTCTCCTCCTCTCCCTCGTCCACGTCCTTCCCGTCATTTCCCTCCTCCTCCTCCTCCTCCTCCTTCTCCGCCTTCTCCTCCTCGTCTCTCCACCTCTCTGTTTCCTCCGCCATGCCAGAGGTGCCTTCGCCCTCTCGACGCCACTTCCGGGAGAGACACTCTCGCCGGGGCTGCCCCGAAGCAGGCAGTTTGCCCCTGGGCCCGTCTTCTTCAACCCGCTCGCTCGTGCCACGCGCCGCAGCGCGTGGGCGAACATTAGCGCTGCCCGCCGGATCTCACCGCTCTGCGGGACAGGCGGCCGCCCCTCCTCCATTCGCAGTCATTCCTCCCCCCTCTTGTCCTGCCCCCGTCCTGCCTCCCCCCTGCTCGCCGCGCCCTCGCCCGAGGCATCTCCGCGGTTTGCTCGCGCGTGGCCCCCCCCCCCTGCGACGCCTCCAGAGTTTGCTCGGGAAGCGCGCTCGCGTCCGGGCGCCGGGCTGCCTCCCACGTCGGGCCTGCGGCGCCCGGACCCGCCCCAAGCACAGCTCGACCACGGAGAAGCCTGGGGAAGGCGATTATTGGAGAGGAAGCAGGCTGTCAAATAATTCCCAGATGTCTTAATCATATTTCAAAGCATGTTTCAAACATGTAAAAGCATACGGGGAAACATTGTTAGAGCATGGTCTACACACGTTAGACACATGTGTTATTCAATGATAGGCTTGTGAGAGTGTCCAGTGTCATGGCATCCACAAAGAAGAGCATCAAAGTGATTCATTTGGGACTGACCGCTCCTCCCTCATCCCTCCTCCCTCTGGGAGCCCAGAGCTTCGAGTATTTCTCAGGCGAAACGGGCCAGACCACCTCACGCGCAGCATCTCTGAGCCACGACTTGCGATAAATGTGTCAGGCCACGCGGGCCAGGCCACCTCGCGCGCGGCGTCTCGGAGCCCAGAGTTTCGAGGATGTCCCAAGCGAAGCAGGCCCGACCACCGCGCGCGCGGCATCTCGGAGCCCAGAGGTGCCAGGATGTCTCAGGCGCATTACGCCGGATCACCTCGCTCGCGACATCTGGGCACCCAGTATTGTGAGGACGTCCCGGGCGGCGCCCAGACCCTTCCCGGAGCACAGTTCGACAACCGAAGTGTAGCTAAATGGTTCGTGTGGGTCTGGCCCCTCCTCCCTCGCCAGGGAGGGGGGTGCAGCGCAGATCCAAGAAACCCGCGCGGAGCGCCAACAGTTTATGTTTATGTCGCTGTTCTTCTTCCAACCTTGCGAGAGAGAGAGAGAGAGAGCAACAACACAAACAATAAAATAAAAAACGCACGACACCGAAAAATACACGTGGAGCGGACGTCCGAGGGACTGCAGGTTTTTTATCACAGGCCCAGGGGCCCCGTGAGAGCCCCCGGAGGCCAAACGTTACCAAAACCTTGACCCGTCGGTGGTTTTGAAAGTAAGGCAGGTCTTCCTGGATTCCCAGATGCCGGTCTACTCGAGGCACCTTCCTACAGTAGGTTCATGCGGCGTTGGCGCGCCGGCGACGTTGGCGAGGGCGCTCAAGGTTGCATTCTACGACTCGGCAGCACCGAGGGACTCTGTAACGCCGTTGGACTGGACGGGATTCAACCCTGAACGATCGGTGCCGCGATCGATTCGAGGTTCAAACAATCGACGCGGTGTCAAAAACCTCTGCGCGCGTCGACGCCGCACGAACCTACCGTACCTCGCGAGCCTGGCGGTTTTCCCCTCTCCCTCGCCTGCAGGGGGCAGGCGGAAGCCCAACATCTCCCTGCCCCGCCTTCCTGCTTCATGCTTCTACCCACTTCTTCCGACCGACGGGTAAGGTTATGTCGGGCATGTCTTCCTACAGGTTATTTTACACAGAAATCTTGAAAGTCATCAACACCTACTTGTTCGTGGATTATACAAGCACGTTTAAACATACTTGGAGAATACTCTAAACATGCTTCGGAAAAATCGCGATCCCTGCTGGAGGATGGCCTTGTTTTCGCGATTCTCACCTTGCGTGTTTCGGCGCGCGTAAAATACACAGCGCCCTGCGCACCAGACAGGGAGCGCCTTTTCAACGCAGCCTAACTATTGTCGCAGCTATGTCGCTACAAGTGGAACTGGGTATCCTTCCCAAGGATACCCTGTCGGCGGCGAGCGAGGGGGGGGGAGTGAGACACGGAGGAGGCCTCTTCAGAAGGCGCCCCGACTTCTCAGACAGAAGCCCTCCGGCCTTATGGGACGATGTCCGTGTCTCCAGGGAGGGCTTAGATCAGGAGGGAAAGAAACACACAGACACAATTAATCGGCGATTCCCCAGAAAATATGGGAAAATATGGGAAGTGGAGGGGGGAAGACAAAAACCCAGAAAAGATGGGAAAATTTGGGGAATATTTTTATTAGTGTGTATTCATTTGTGTGTCCCAGGGCCCCTTCATTAGAACACTTCTCAGAAGAGGGCCACAGGCCTTCCAAGCCCTCTGAGAAGGCCTCCTCCTTCTCCTTCCCCCCCCCCTGTTGCTCGTCGCCGACCCCTGCACCCGGGGAGGAAAGACCACCCAGACCGGACAATTGGCGTTTACTAAACTCGGGGGTGGATATATAGACTAAAACGACGCGAAGATCGGGACAAAATCGGATCGAGATAATTCGAAATCTCTGAGAATCGGCGGGTTTGGAGGATGTATTGGGCGCCGCGGCCGCTCCAGAGCGTTCCAGAACGCTCTGAGAGCGCTCCGGAACGCTCTGGAGCGATTTATCCCGATCCTAGACCTGTTTTAGTGGATAGACCTCCTACCCTGACACGTCGATTGAGGAATTGGCCGTTTTCGGTTCGCGAGAGGGCGTCGCGGCCGTCATTTTTGCGGGTCCAGGTCCGTCGGTTTCCGTCCCGGGCCGTTTTCACTAAGGGGAGGTTTGCTAAAGGGAGGTCTGTCCACCGCCGATGAACGGCCCTGGGCGTTTACTAAACACCCCTGCCCTGTTTGATTACTTTTGTTGGGTGCGTTTGCTAAACGGCTTCGCGTGTCGGGGTGGTTACTATCGGGGTGGATGTTCTGCCATCTATTGCAACCGTGCCTCTCGGGTCCATCCTTGACCACTTTCGATGACCCACAGCGCTCGAAGAAGATGCGGACATGGGCGTCCGAGGGGCTTGCATTCTTCTCGTTAGAAAGTCCAGGGTTTGCTAGGGACCGATTTCCTTTGAAACCGCCAAAACCCTCCCGAAAACTCTCCAGGATGGGTTCTGGGAGGCTTTTCGGATGGTTTCGAGGGGGTTTGGGAAGGGTTTTCGTTGTTTTCGTGGGGAAACCAGTCCTTAGCGAAGCCTGGGTTTTCTAACCTCAGCGCGCACCCTTACTCGCAGCTCTGACTGCAGGACCTCCTGGCCGCCTCGGCCCAGAGGGATTTTGCACCGTGGCGGTGCCTGGCATGGCCCTGGCCAGGCACGGCGGTGGTGGTGGTGGTGGGTGGGGGTGTGTGGTGTGTGGTGGTGTGGTGGGGTGGTGGTGGTGGTGGTGGTGGTGGTGGTGGCGGTGGGCGGTGGCGTGGCGGTGGCGGTGGCGGTGGCGGTGGCGGTGGCGTTGGCGGTGGCGGTGGCGGTGTGGTGGTGGTGGTGGTGGTGTGTGGAAACCTGCTGCTTATATTTGGCGGCGCGCACAGGGGGGTAGGAGGTGGAGGAGGAGGAGGAGGAGGAGGAGGAGGAGGAGGAGGAGGAGGAGGAGGAGGGGGGTCGGGAGGGAGGAGGAGGAGGATAAGGATGAGGAGGAGGAGGAGGAGGACGACGAGGAAGAGGAAGAGGAGGAGGGAGGGGGGGCGAAGGCTTCTTAGAAGGAGGTTGCTTCTTAAGAAGCCGCGGGCCTTGTCCGTAAATGTAGGGCCGGCGCCCGCTAAGAAGCAGCCTCTTTCGAAGAGGCCTTCCCCTGTGCGCGCCGCCGAGATCCTGCGCCCCCAGCAGGCTCGGCGCGGGCGGCGCGTTCCGACTTAGGATGATTCAAGGATCCTGTAGGGAAGGATATCTATTCGCCAGTGAGATTTTTAACCGGAAATTCAAAAATTATGATTTTCTATTGTTTATTCAGATTTTACATTGTTTATTTGGTTTTTCATTGGAAATTCATTTTTTAAAATTTATTCCATTTATTACTTAATAATTTGAATTTATGTGTTTTTTTGTTGCTTGTTTTTGTTCAAAGTATCTGGGTTTATGAGTGTATCGGGCCCCTCTCCCCCTCCCTCCTCCCATCCTTGCGGCCGCTCTCCGCAGGTCAATTCCGGCGCATCCCTCGCACGCTCCGTGGCCCCATAATGAGGGAGCTCCGGTGAAGGTCCCAGTGGCAGTGGCAGGGTCCACCAGCGCCCAGGGAAGGAGGAGGGGGAGGAGGAGGAGGAGGAAGAGGAGAAGGAGGAGGACGAGGAGGAGGAGTAGGAAGGGGGGGGGGGAGGAGGGGGGAGGAGGAGGAGGAGGAGGAGGAGGAGGAGGAGGAGGAGGAGGAGGAGGAGGAGGAGGAGGAGGAGGAGGAGGAGGAGGAGAGGAGGAGGGGAGGAGGAGGAGGAGGAGGAGGAGGGAGGAGGACGGGGAGGAGGAGGAGAGGAGGAGGAGGAGGCGGAGGAGGAGGAGGAGGGGGAAGGAGGAGGAGGAGGATGAGGAGGAGGGGGGGGAGGGGGAGGAGGAAGACGAGGAGGAGGAGGAGGAGGAGGAGGGGAAAAAGAGGAAGAGGAGGAAAAGGAACACGGGAAAAGGGGGAAGAGGCGTCATGCATGCGTTTTCGCTCCTTGCTGCTGCGTTGGTTCGAGCAGCGAGCACGTGTTGCCGCGCTGCGCGTTCGCAGCTCCCGTTGCCGCTGCCCCTGGCAGACGCCATGGCCTGGGGTGGTTGGTGGAGCGGGGCGTGGTCTTCCGACGGCGACTGGCGGTCCTCCGCCTGGGCCTCCGACAGCGGTTGGCGGAGCGCCTGGCGGTGGCCCTCCGCCTCGAGCAGCAGGGCCGCTGCCGCGGAGGCGGAGGCGGAGGCGCACGCCGCGGCTCCATGGCGCGACGAGGGGGGGGGCCATGGTGCAGCCGAGCGCGCCGGCCCCTCCCAGAGCGTTCCGCCGTGGGAAGCCAAGGGTTTCGCTTCGGCGAGGCACAAGCGGGGCGGCAAGAATCGGGAGAGCAAGGTGAATCGGCATAGTTTGCAAATCGGGCCCGCCATGTTCCTGTCACGCCCTTCTCTCTCCTTCATGTCCCCCCCCCGCCGACTCGCAGGTGAAGTGGCGGCTGAAGCACTGGTTCGGGGGCGCGCGCCAGGGGCTCCCAGAGCAGCCGGGCCCGCCGCTGCCAGAGGAGCCGCCCACGCCTGGACCGTCCGAGGCCGAGCAGTCCATGGAGCTGGAGCTGGCGAGCCGCGCGCCGCCGCGCGCGGAGGAGCAGGGGCGGTTTCCCATCGCTGGCCGAGCACTGCTTCTTTCCGCCATCAACGAGCGGATCGAGGTTCTCCTTGGGCGCCGCGCCCCCCCGAGGGGGCCCCCGACGCCGATGCAGCCTTACCCTTGGTCGCCTTTGGGCGTGCCCGACACCGCGGCCGACGACTTGCGCACTCTCCTGGTGTTCAGCACCTCTGAGCCGTGGATCCACGGCGAGTCGGCCGCCCCGCAGCTTCTCCTCGGGCCCTGGTCGGAGTGCGGGGCGCCGCCGTCGCTCGAGCACGCGCCTCCGACGCCGTTGCTCGCGCTGCCGCCCGCCCCCGACGCTGGCCAGGAGATGTCGACGGGGCCGCCTGGCGCTGTCGGCGGCCAAATCCCCATCGCGACGATCGCGGCCCAGTCTGGTGCTGCCGCGCGCGCCGGGGCTGCTGCTTCGTCGTCAGGGCCGCCTGCTGCGGCGCCGCTCGTGGTGGAGGGCTCCGACGCGGAGGCGGACGCGGAGGTGGGCAGTCCGGCGGGCCCGCCCGAGCCTGCGTCGAAGAGGCGCGTCGTCCGAGACAGCGCCGAGGCCGAGGCCTTCGCGTCGCTTGCGGCCGACTGGGAGACTGCGCACCAGAGAACGAGTGGCGCTGCAGCGCGCGCCGTTGCAGGACAGGCCCGCCGCAGAGCTGCCAGAGCCTTCGCGACCGCGGAGGTCGTAGCGGCTGGGCTTCCACCGCCGCCGCCGCTGGCGCCGCCGCCGCCGCTGGCGCCGCCTGCCGATGCGTCGGCGCCGCCCCCCGTGCCCGACGGCGCGGGGACGGGCGCCGTCGCCGTGGACTACGCGGACACGGGGCCAAAATTCGAGGGCGACGAAGCCGAGTCTGATTTTTGACGTTTCCGATTTCGATTTCTATCGAGCCCGCTCGATTCTGAGTCCGCTTCCGAACGCGTCTGACGGGGCTTCTTCGAGGAGCCCGAGTGCCGAGCGATTCCCGTCGGGCCCGCGTTCGATCCGATCCCCAGCGCGATCGATTCCGATTCCAATTGGCTCCAATAGATTCCGCCTGATCGATTCCGACCACACCTCCACCCCGTTCGACTCTGGTCGTCGTGGAAATCGACCCATTCCCAAGGGGAGGGGGTTGGGGGGGTTATATTGGAATCAGGCATGATGGGGGTCAGGAAGGCCACGGGAAGACAAAGGGAGAGTCCTCGCCTGGCCCCCCCTCTCAGTCACAGGTGCCGCGCGGGAGCCCAGGGGGGCCGCCCCACTTCGAGGAGGTGTCCATCCACGTTGTGCTGCCTGTACCTGTGGTGGGCACGCCCGTGGGGTACTGTCGCATGCAGGACGACCACCTGCAGCTCAATGCAGGCGGCAAGTACCAGCGGCCGTGCGTTGTCGTGCAGGGGCTCTGGAAAACGGGGACGCACGCCCTCCACAGTTACATGGAGCGGCACTTCGACGTCGAGGTGCGCAAGAGCAGGTGGGACGGGTGCGTCTCCTTCAACGGCCGCCACGCGTGGAAGCACGACCTGCTCCTCACGCCGTTGGAGTTTCCGCCAGAGGATGAGCAGGGCCGCCCAGTTGTGGTTCTGGTGTGCACGCGCGAGCCGACCAGGCGGCCGACGGGTCTTTCGGGCCAATGGTGCAGCAGAAGCGCGCCAGCTTTTGAGGTATCAGCCTGCCTGCCCTCCCGTCTTCTCACTTCCCCCAAACTATCATGCCGTGCTGCTCTCGCAATCCCCCTCCCCCAGGTGGATCAGGGCGATGTCGAAGGGCGCCTACGAACTGATGCCGAACTCTGCCAGCGGCACGAAGCGGGTTCGGAGGATGGGGGACGTGAGTTGGCTCTTGCGGGGGCCGAGAGACGAACCTGTGCACGTCCGCTGGCCCGCCTGGGCGAAAGGCCGCGTCGATTACGATCCAGAGTTCGAGGATGCGTTCGACTTGTGGTGCCACTACATGGCCGCAGTGCTCCACGGTACTGGCGTGGGCAGCCCGGCGTCTCCAACCCATCGCGTCCTCGTCGTGCGGCACGAGGACCTCGTGTGCAGGCCCGAACTCGTGCTGAATGAGCTCGTCAGGGCTGGCCTGCAAACCAAGGGGTTGCCGTTTCATCCAGAGCGCAGGCTTCTGGGGGGCCACCGCACCGACAAGGGGCGGGCGGTGGAGGCGCTGAGGGAGGAGGTGCAAACGCCAGTGACCCTGGACGATCAGATGGTCGATTGCATGGTGTCGAGGGCTCAACGGTACAAAGGCTTGTTTGCCACTTGCTGGTACCCGCCCGCCGACGGCAAACTTCCAGTCGACCACGCGAGTGTCGAGGATGTTTATAAAGTTTGCGGAGCGGCGTGATTTATCTGTTTCCCGCGAGCTGTCCAACTAGCAGGCAGCCCCCGCCACCTGTTCATTCCTCTTCGCCTCCTCTGGTGCAGCATCAGCGCGCTTCTCCCTACTCCCTCTCCTGGTGACGGCCTGCAAAGCAGCCGCGCCCGAATTGCTGGCATTTGGAACGGCGCCAATTCGCTGCGGATTATTCCTTTGAGAGCTTCGTGCGCAACGTTCGCACATGAAAAAAAGAAGATGTCGGGTGACAGAGCACCCCCAACGAGGTGGGGAACCCTGGGCTGACAGAGCCCCCCAACGCGGCCTGGGGAAGCTTGCAGAGGTTCCAAGAGGCACCAGTGGGCTCCAAGACGGCCCCGAGAGGACGCCGAGTAGGCTTCAAGAGGTTCCTCCCCCAAAATTACCCCAAGGGTATCTGTAGAGGGCTTCCCGAGGTCGTCGTCGTCGTCGTGGTCGTGGTCGTGATCGTCGTCGTCGTCGTCGTCGTCCTCGTCCTCGTCCTCGTCGTGGTCGTCGTTGTCATCGTCGTCGTGGCCGTCGTCGTCGTGGTCGTCGTCGTCGCGGTCGTGGTCGCGTTCGTCGTCGTTGTCGTCGTCGTGGACGTCGTTGTCGTGGTCGTGGTCGTCGTCGTCGTCGTCGTCGTCGTGGAGCCCGCCGTGGTCGTCGTCGTCGTCGTCGTCGTCGTCGTCGTCGTCTTCGTCAGCGGACATCTTTCCTCCTTTGTGGTTGTGGCGCACCCCGCGGCTGCGGCGGCTCATGATTGAAACGACTGTTGTGAATGCGTTTCCTGCCGCGCCGCGGCGACTAGGAGGAGGGGAGGGGGAAGGGAGAGGGGAGAGAGGAGGAGGGGATGAGGGAGGGAGGAGGAAGGGAAGAGGAAGAGAGGAGGACAGGAGGAGGAAGGGGGGCCAACGGGGGGAGGAAGGGAGGAGCAAGGGGGAAGGGAGGAGGATTGGATGAGGACGGGGGGACGGGGGGAGAAGGGAGGAGCAAGGGAGGAGGAAGCGAGGTGGAAGGGAGGGGGAAGAGACCAGGACGGGAGGAGGATGGGGAGAGAAAGGCGAAGGCTAAGGTACTCACTATGTGGTCACTCCGTGCGGCGAACGGATGCTGGGGGCACCCCCGCTTCAAAGGTGGTCGTTGCAAGACGTTGTAGCGCCAGGCCGCCTCGAGGAAGAGGGGGGGGGGGCGCGGGAGGAGGAATAAGTAACGAACGCGGAGGAGAGGAGGAGGAGGAGGAGGAGGAGGGGAGGCGCAGGAGAAAGCAGACTGCTGTGAGTGACAAGCCAGGGAGCACCCCTGCTCATTACCCGACGCTGCCTTCCGCATGGTGGCAAGCGTCATCGGTGGCGCCCGTGACCGCTCGAGAAGTGACGCGCGGGCCCGCGTCGAGCAAACCGGAGAAGGAGGAGGAGGAATAGGAGGAGGAGGAGGAGGAGGAAAAGGAAGAGGAGAAACCTAGCAGGAGGCTGGGGGCCTCTATCGTGTGAGCCGTGCATCTGTAGTCCTTGTGGCTCCAGCGCGCTGGTGGTCATATGCCCGAATGGATCTGTTCGCAGCTGCTCGGGACGCGTTGGGTCGCCTCGTGGGCGGCGATGGGCTCGGGGCTCGAGGTGCAGCAGAAGCGCGCCGCCCCGGGCCCCGCCCAGGCAGGCGCGGCCTGGTGCCTCTGGGCGCGGCTGCCGCTGCAGCTCGTCGGGCTAGGGGCGATGCGCGGCTCCAGCTGGACATGGAGCTGCAGGCGCAGATGGCCACGCACAATTTGGACAATGCCAAGCGACAGGTGGACGTGATGGGGGAGGGGCAGGAAGGCCCGCGCAAGAAGTCGCCAAGATTTCGCTGGGATCAGCGGCTTCCTCGGACAATGCTCCGCGCAGTGTTCGGCAAAGAGAATCTGCGGATGGCTGCTAGCAGCGTCGCCAAGGTTTTCAGAGGCACCGGAATCAAAGGCAGCCATCTTTTCGCTCGCCAATTGAGATCGGCTTTGGCGGAGCTTTATTGCGACAGCCAACGTGTTCAAATAGAGCGCCAAGTGCTCAGAGCGCCTGGGACAGAACACAATTGGTTGGTTATGCATCTGCAGTGGGACGAAACCAAGTTCACTGTGCAGCTGAACGACGGCAAGCCTCCTTGTGGGCAGCAAGTGATGACACAGCACGGCGTGTTGCATTGGGAAGACGAGGACCTCCGCGTCCACAGCCAAGAGCTTATCTTCCCACCGTCCGTGCTGGAATCTGCAACCGCCGACTGCATGCTCGGAGGCCTCGCGCGGGCGTTGCGCGTGGATATGGATGAGCTCTGGCCGTCGGCGCTGCTGGCGTGCTTGTCCCCGAGCGTCGATTCTGTGGCCGCAAACGGGCTGGTGTGCAAATATTTGCTGCAGACGTTGCCCTGGTGGGTCCTCCTGTTGCCTTCTTTTTGTTTGCAGCATCAAACCGCAATATGTTTGCAGTCGGTCGGGGACATGACGGGGTTCGTCGGCGGCATGTTTTCCACTGTCAGACACTTGCAAACAGGGGCCAACTTGCGGGCCCTCGAGGCAGCTCTGCGGCAAATCCTGTCGGACGAGGAGGCTGGTCTGGAGGCGCGGCGGGGCGCGCCGAATCCAGCGGACAGGGGGAAGCTCGACATGCTGCTCGGGTATTGCGACCGCCAGATGGATGAGGACGTGGAGGACGAGGAGGTGACAGCGGCGCGCGGCCAACGTAGAGGCCTCACCAAGCCAGAGGTCGACTTGATCAAGGAGATGTTCGCCGGCGACGTGTCTCAAGGGAGGCCCGTGCACCATTGCAGGGGCCGCGACTGCTGCGCGAACAGGCAGGAGTCTGTCGACAGAGCGGTGGCGGCGGTGATGGTTCCTTTGCGCAGGCGTTTGGCAGTGCCCGCGTTGAACCGCTGGAACACTGTGCATCCCACCGCGTGCGTCTTGCTGCTGTTGATCTCCTTGCATGGATTGCTGCCGCGTGCGCTCGAGAAGACGTGCGGCGCTGCTGCGCGCGCCATGCGGCGGGAAGATGGCGGCCTCGAGAGCGGCAGCGGCGCAGCGGGCCTGGGGGATTTCAGGCGTGAACAGCATGTTCGCACCGTCAAGATGATGAGGTTTCTCTCCGATCTACTTGCGCGGCAACGGCTGGTCCTGCGGGTGGCCGTGGCCGCCGTGGGGATGCGATTTCATTACGCATGTTTCAAACGTGGGTCTTTGCATGGCTGGCTCGACCCCAAGGGGTCTGCGCTGTCGTCATTCTGCAAGAGCGTCGTCCTTGACACGCTCGCTCAGCTGAGCTCAGCCTTTGACCCCGCTGCAGCTGGACATTACGACTTGTGGAGATTGCCGCTTGCCCTGCACGGCCCCCTCGCGTCCTGGCCCGGCGAGGTCCTCCGCGAAGCAGACGCCATCGTCCACGTATTCACTGGGTCCTTTTATCGTCGCTTCGACATTCGTTTGAGCGGTTACCCATGGAGGCTCATGCGGCTCGTGGACGCCTCCCTGGACATGGGGGCCCGCCGCGCAGAAGGCGAAGAACTCTTTCGGGCAAACGAGTGTTGCCTGGACTCGGGGTTCTCCTTGAGGCTGAGGAAGATGTGCACCACGGGCGTTGACGACCTTTTCCTGCCAGAGGTGCAGCGCTTTCTCTCCGCATGCTTTAGGTACGCGATGGCCTCGACGGTGCATTCCGAATTGTTGGCGTTGCGCAGATCCCCACCAGCCCATCCAGAAACGTCGCCCAGGCGAGTTGGCTTTTTCACGGCTGCGGTCTGCGACCCTAGGGGCCGTCTTGGGCCATTCTTGACGCTCTAACCTATTGCGGGCCCCCGCGCCCAGGTCCTGGGGAGGGGGCGCGGGAGAGGGGTAGACCCCTCCGCAAACGGGAAAGAATGGGGGTTGGAAGAGGAATCTCCCTAGACCACTTGCGCCCTGAAGGGCGCGTGGGATTGGCTTTTGCGCGGATGAGAGCCCACCTCCAGACGATGAACAACAGACCTCCGAACGCCGCGACGCTCTCCGCCAAGCACGTGATCTCCGAGGTTGTTCGCTGTCACGAAGAGGGGCGGAGAAGGCGCCGCGGGCGCGACTTGCGCACCAAGCGGGGCCGACTCCTGCAGAAGAGCGGCCACTCGAAACCGATCTGGGCCCAAGGCAAAGGAGGCAACCAGCGGCGCAAGAGGTTGGGCCATTATATGTTTTACCACCGTCGCGTGGCTGATCTGCGAGATTCGCAGCCGCGGGCGCCATGGGCAGACCCGAGAGAGTACGAGCGGCGTCTGTATCTACAGGCGGCCGCGGACTGGCGGGCTGCATCCGAGGCCGAGAGGCGAAGCTGGAGAGGCGGCTCGGCGCGCGAACAAGGCTGAGAGGATGAAGCCAGACCCGCTGCACGAGTACGTGCGCATCTGTCGCGACCACGTTGACCAGTCGGACGAAGCTGCTTGGCCTTGGGGTCTCGGCTCAGACGAGTTCCCCTTGTCCGAGGACCTTGTCTCCGCAGCCGTGCAAGCACATGTCGATGCGAAGCTGAAGAGGGGATCCTTCGTGGAAGCCACGGCCGTGTCGTTTGACGAAATGTACAATGCTGCTGTGGCGCCTCCAGGACTCATTCGCTGCGGCCTCCCAACTGAGCGGCCTTGCTGCACGCGCGCGGCAGAATGCCTTGGCGGCGTCGCCGACTTGCGGGGGGAGTACCAAGGCGCAGTGGAAGATTTGCGGTTGTTGGTTTCCCCTGCGAGGTGCAAGACTGTCGGGAAGATGATGACCCTCCAGGTTTCAGGGCCTGGAGGCTGTGTGATGATTCGCAACTTCTCGCACTTGAAAAGTCGTATTTTCACGGGGGAGTTCTGCGAGTGCGACGTGGTGGGGCAGCCATGCGGGCTCGGCGCGGCGCCCCCCGAGGTGCCATTCTCTCTGCGCCGGTGTTGGGTGGAGAGGAAGGGCCGCAGAGTGTTGAAGATGATGACTGAGATCGACGTCGCCCTCCACATCTTACGCGTGTGCGGGCGCGACCGGGCTGAGCTGCGCTGGGTCGAACTTCTTGCGCGCCCGCGCATGGGTTGCTCAGAGCTGCAGTATTCGGTCGATTGGGCGGAGGAGCGGGACTTACACGAGGCACGCCTCCACGAGAAGGACGTTGACCTGGCGACGGGCTGGTTCCAGGCGTTCGCCGACTCCCGCCCTGGCGGGGCTTCCGCCGACGGGGGGGGCAGCGGCGCGCGTGGCGGGGATGAGGAGCCTGACTACGCGAAGGATTGGAAGGCCGCTTGGGAGGCCGCCGCCGCCTGGCGGCAGAGAGGTCGCGGGGCGCAGGGTGCAGCAGAAGGCGCGCCAGCGGAGGCGCCTCCCGCAGCAGCGCCGGACGCCGCTCTGGCGCACGGGCCGCTGGGCGGCCACGCTGCGGCGGCGGCGCCGCCGCCGCCCCCCGCGGGCGCGCCGAGGCGCCCGCGCGTCGCCCGATACCCGCAGCTCCCACATCCCGCTGGGGCTGGCCGTCCTCACTACATTCGCCTTGTCGAGAACGAGGCCCTCGCCGTCTACGACATGCGCGCCGTCTGTGGCCTCCATCCAGGCTGTTCATGGAACCAGCAATCGAGGGTCAGACCATTGGCCGCTTTGTGGTGGTGGTTGGGGGGGGCCCCTGGATGCGGGAGCAAGGCAGACCATAAACAAAAGGTGCCCACGCCAGCGCAGATCGCCGCTGCTCGCGCGGTCCTCGAGGGCATGCCCGAGAGCCAGCCTTGGAGGGACTCGGAGGAGAGGCGGGCCAGTGGCGGGTGATCTTCCCGCCAGGACAGATACGAAGCGTAGGCGTGTAAAAGTGCATTTCTCAGAGCCGTTGTCGCCGCCGCGGCCGCCCGCTGCAATCGCGCAGCTGTCGCCTGATCGTTGCTCCAATCGCTGTTTCGCCGCGTCTCTCGGCGCAGCATTGTTCCCGAGCTGCGGCTAAGCTGCCGTCCGCGCCAGCGCCTCGCTGCCCGCCGCCGCGCCCGCCCCCTCGCTCCCCGCGATGTCCCGCGCGGAGACGGTGAAGGCATCGCCTTCCGACACCGACGGGGAGACGGAGAAAGCGCCGTCCCTGGCCTCGGGGTTGCGGCGGGGCCGCATGCTGCACGGCCTCGAGGTCGAGGGGCCCCCGTCATTGTGCACTTCCTTATGTCCTTCCTTTTTTTCGCCTCGCTTCCTTTCCTCCCTCTTGGCTCCCGTTTCCTCTCAGGTCGCCCTCGTGGTGGTTGGCCAGTGGGCTGGCTATCTGGTGAAACCTTTCAACAAGAAGGATGGTTCCAGCTTCACGTGCGGTCTCTGCGCCCACGAGAGCACGGACCCGAGCCCGTATCCCCAGGCGAGTAACGAGGACGAGTTCGGCGGATACTGGCCGTGGAAGTACCGCACCGACCATGGCAGCATGACCCGCCAGGCCACGGGCTATTTGTGCCTGGTTTGCAAGGCCCTGTTGCGCAAGAAGGCAGGCGGGCAAGGGACATTTCGCTGAAATCGAGCCCGCCGCTTTCAATTTTTCTCTGCCCGCGCGGGCTGCAAATTTCTATTTCTGATTTTTTTCTATTTCCCATTGTTTTTTTGAATTTCCGGCCGGTGAACATAAAACCGCCCTGGTGAACATAAAATCGCCCTGGTGAACATAAAAGTGGTTTTGGTGAACATAATTGTTTTTTGGATTTCCGGCCGGTGAACATAAAACCGCCCTGGTGAACATAAAATCGCCCTGGTAAACATAAAAGTGGTTTTAATAAACATAACTTTTTTGGGGGGGAAAATGATTTTTTTCAATAAATTCACAAAAAGATGCAATTTTAAATTCAGCGCATTGCAATTCCGCGCAAGAGAAAAAGGGCAACCGGCAGAGGAATGCATTTTTTCTGGTCGCGGCGAGGCGACTTCGAGCATTGCCGTTGGACATTCCACCTCCGCTCGATCCGCAGGGGTGCACCGCCCGGCCTATCCTGCACGGGGCCCGACGCGACTCGAGCCCCACGCGGCCCCGACCCATGTCCGACGCGATTCCGACTTGGTCCAGCCCCCTCTCTCTCTCTCTCTCTCTCTCTCTCTCTCTCTCTCTCTCTCTCTCTCTCTCTCTCTCTCTCTCTCTCTCTCTCTCTCTCTCTCTCGCAGGCGGTGCTCTTGGACCCCCACTTGCCTGGCGGCGAGAAGAAGCCGCTGAAGGAGTACATCAAGTGGGTGCGCCAGGATGCGGGCCGGGCGCAGACCGTGCGGCTCAAGGTGGATGCGTACGTCCAGAGCCAGGCGGGGAAGGACCCAGAGAAGCGCCGCCGCATGTCCAGGCAGGCCGCGGGAGACATCCAGCAGGCTCGCCAGGTATCTTCCGTCAAGGTCTCCGGGCGTCGCCTGTCTGCGAACTGGCATCAAGCCTGCCCCGTGAGCAAGTGGCACGAGGCTTTCCCTGAGACGCCGCTGCCCACGGACCCGAATTGTCGCGGCGAGGAGCTCATCGACGGCGCCTGGCAGGAGGCGCGCTGCCAAGTCGTCTTCCCACTCGCTTCCTTCATCGTTGAAATGCCCTCCCTTTCTGCTCTCCTACTGGCAGGTTGTATATGTCATGAAGGACGGCGCGAAGAAGTTCTTGTACGACATCGCGGACTACGACGATCGCAAGGTGGAGGACAGGACGGTGCTGGCGACTGTGGCCGAGTCAGACGACGACGCGGACGCGGCTGAGGTTGCGGCTGCTGCCGAGGCCGCCGTGGCCCCAATTGCAGCCCTGCGGCGCGCCACGCAGTGCGCGGAGATCGGTGCAGCAGAGAGCGCGCCGTCGGAGGGGCACCAGTCCGACTCTCCCGCGAGCGACGAGGACGCCGAAGAGACGGATCTCGTGGCCGCGGCGCTGTCGGGCCTGTGGGGCACGGCCCGCGCCGCCAAGCCCGCGCCCAAGGCTGCGACCAAGCCGCAGGCCAGACCACCAGCCCAGACGACCGGGAGGGCTACGTCCGGGCGCCCCGCCCAGACAGCCGAGAGGCCTGCCGCCAAAGGGGCTGCCACGCCCGCAGCCGCTGCCCCTTCGAAGTGCGCCGCGCCCTCGGCGCAGGCGCCGCCGCAGAGGTCAGCCGCCCGCGCCCCTGCTCAACGGCCGCGCCCTCGGCGCAGCCAGCCGACGGCAGCAGCGCCAGTCCGCCCTTGGCGACCCCGCAGCGCTCGGGCCGGAGCCAGCCAGGGAAGAAGCGTGGCAGCGGCGGTTCGTGGGCCGCGCCCCTGCTCGCCCAGCCGCCCGACGACTCCGACGAGGGCGGCGGGCAGCCGGACGAGCCAGCACCTCTCGAGGACGGCTCCGCGTCGAAGAAGAGGGGGCGGAAGGCCCTCGAATTCAGCCTCGCAGCGGCCGGCAGGAAACTCAAGGGCGAGGCCGACGCGCTCTTCAACACGTTCCGGGAGTGTTACAAATTGCTCGACTTCAGCGGAGATGTGGACCTGTCCACGAAGGAGGGGAGAGCCCACTTCAAGGCCACGGCTTTTGAGCAGGCGGCAGCCGCAGAGAGCGCCATCCACGCGGCCAAGAAGGCAGCGGCCAAGATGGGGAAGATCCCGGATGACGGCGCGCAGGCGCTGCAGATCAACAAGGCGTGGCTGGCGCGCTCAGAGGAGGCGCTGGCCGCGGCAGT